ACAGCCACCATTCGCTCTCCCCTCGAATTCCCAAAGAGATCAACCTTTCCAGGCAAGGGATGAAGCGCGTTGCTTTAGCAGAAAGTGATAAAGAGAGGGGAGGGGGAAATTAAACAGAAGACGACAAAAAAAAAAATACAAAGAAAGAACATACTCAAAAGATGTCATAATACTGCAGAAGGATTCATCACTTGAAAACACTCAAAGACTTTTGCTGTTGTGTTTTGCAGAATTCTCCAGCAGCTACAGGGACAAGTGGCTTCCACAAACAAAGGAGGATCTACCACGAGAAGGCAGTGAAGTACAGCAAACTCCAAACACCCAGGGGCAGAGCCTCAGCTGATTGTAAAGTGTAGCAGCACCACTGGCTTCAGTGAACCTGCACAATTCACACCCACTAAAGAGCCCTCAAAATGTGCAGATGGGAGTTAAAAATACCTGGTATTTCGGCTGACAAACACGCAACCAACAAGAACACCTAAACAATTTGACAAAACACAAACCAGGTGAAAAAAAATACTGAATATCCACTGCCAATAAGTTACAGTAACAGGCTAGCTTTTATGTTACTTTATATAGGGAGAAATTAATCCTTCAAAATTATCAATAACTACCACAAGCAGAAATATATTTTTCCCAATCAGGAAGTTTAGACAACAAAGCAACAAACAAATTAAACTCCAGCTGCTAAACTGTTAAAATTTCCCACAAATTCCAACTGAAGATATGACTGCTAATGATTCACACCTAACAGTCATCAACTTTCACTTAAGGCACTCGTTACTAACAGGTATTCAAAGCAATACAAGTTTGTTTACATAACAGGTTTCCTTCTTCTACAGACTGGCAGCTCTACACCCATAGAAATTTTCACAAATTTTAAAAGGTATTTCTGAGTGCCAAGTGATGCAGGGGCATCACTTATATCTACCCTGCTGCAACCACATGCCATGTAGGCTCATGGGCAGGCTCTGCACCACCCACAGGGTGCTGGGGGTCAACAGCTGCACAAACAGGTACAAACGTGCAGGAAAAGCTGCTGAGCACCTTTCTGTGACAAGCTTGTTTCAAGTCCTTTGACATCAATAAACAAGGGATTCAAGTTAGTTCGTAATTTAAACACTTGCTAACGACCAGTCTGTAAGTGCTGGTTGTTCAATGGTTCAGACCTGCACAAAGCTCCAGGGCAGCCTCAGTAACGTGATGCACAACCATGGACCCTTACACATGATGATTCACATGTTCCCTCCAATTAATTACATTAATTCAGATTTTTTTGTTGCCACAGAAACACTGAGCTTCAGTAACATCTATCTAACCACAGTCACACGAGTCAAATACAGGTTAACCTCTTGTAACTCTTTCTGCTTGTTCTTTTTTGGTTTGTGTGAGCCTAGTAAGTGAAATTTAAACGCCAATTCCTAGTCATGTCCTCTCTGACAGTTTAAATCAGCTTCCACACTAATACTATCTTTATTAGTGTGCTACTAACCAGAACAACGAAAGCTCCTTTCACCTCTCTACTCTTTTCTTTCAAATACATATATCTAACAGCACACTCAAACTGACCCATGACACACACTACCTAGCACAACTGCATTCTCTCAGGCCACCCATTAAATGAAAAACTGCCACACTTCATCAAGTAAAAACAATTTTTCAGGTCCTGTCACATTCTTTAATACTTCACAATCAAGATGTTACAACTTCACCTAGGATTTTATTCCAAAAACGTTAACTGACAGATTTCTTACCTCATCATTGATGACCTCGGATTGTTCTTCTTCTTCTTCCTCCTCTAGATCCAAGTCATTTTGCCTCAGGTATGCCTGGAGTGGAACACAATGTTTCTTCTTGAAAGCTAAAAAGTCCATCATATTCCCTTGAAGATGTTGCAGGAAAAACAGTTCAATCAAACATTCCTTAAAAGTTTCCTTAAGAATTTCCATCTGCTTATGGTGATGATCCAAACACAGTTTCCTCATTTGAGCAGTCTCTTGGTTGGCAGGAGGAATCTCCTCCAACTTTTTGGGTTGTTTTTTCACTGCTGTATTAGCTGTAGGAGTAAGAGGAAGACTCGACAGCCCCTGTGGCACAGTGGCCCGTGAAGGACTTGTGGGAGGAGGAGGCGATGTCATCCCAAAGGCACCAGGTCCTCCAACTCCCGCTATCAATCCACCAGAAGTCCTGTCAAATCCAATGGGTCTACCCAGCTGCTGCCCTTGAAGCACTTGCTGCTGCTGCTGCATAAGCTGCCCTTGGATAATATTGCTGATTTGGGGTGGCAAGCTGGTCGTCGTGATGTGGCCCGGGCTAGTCAAGGATTGCATATTGGCCCCGCTGGCCACGGGGCTCTGAGGGCCCAGATGGTGGATGGTGCCCCCAGACTGCGAGTGGGGCTGCGACAGCCGGCGCTCCCTCACCGTCGCCGGCGCCCCGGAGGATGGAAGCTGCACTTGTGCAGCAGCTCCTTGAGCAATCTGTGCAATTCCCGGTCCTTCCTGGTACACAAAGTGTCCCCCGTTGGAAGGGCTCAAGCTGATTTGTCTCACGAGCACGCTGGCGTCCACAAATCCCCTCGTAGGGCTCTGGCTGCACATTCCCAGGCCAGGGCCCGGAGTGCCGGCCCGGACGTTGGGCAGCGTCTGCACCGGCACAGGGTTGGGCTGGGTGGGGCTCTGGGACTGCACTTGCTGGGGCAGCGGGGAAGTAACCTGGATGTAGGACGGGGATCCATGCTCGAACCGCCTCTGCTGGGGGCTGAACTGGAAGCTCGGGGACGTGGGGTTGGGCAGTGGCAGCGGGGTCAGGGTGATCTGCTGGTTTCCCGAGGCCACGGGGCCCACGTTCTGCAGAGTGATGTTCACATTCTGCCCTGCCACCGGGCTCCGGCTCATGATGAACTGCTGGATTTGGTAGCTGGGGGACTGGGGGGCAGATGGACTTGCAGAGGGCGCAAAAGAAGCTGCGGGGGACTGGGGTAGGTTTGCCTGTTGTTCTTCTCCCTCACTGCCTGTGAAGGACCTGGACCTCTGGAGCTGGCGCTGGGCATTCTGAGGACCATTACCATGGTGCATTCTCACTGATCTAGGGTTTTACAGTATACTCTAAAGAAATACACAAAAGCAGAAATTCAGGGAAGGTAAAAACACTTCTGTAGCTGAAACTATTTAGTTACCATTAGAAAGACTCCCTTGTAGCAAGAACTCTCTTATCCTGGTTTGGTAGTTACTTAAAATGTTTCAAATTATCCAAAACCCTCAGAACAACCAACGCTCACTTAAATCCCTCATACATTTCTCTAGTTAACAAAGTGCTATTGAATAGTTACGATATAGAATATATTATAACTATAACATCATCATAACTACGGAATATCATAACTAAAGAACGATATGTTCCCCTTAGTGAGTTAGAATGACTTCAAATAAATAAATTTAAAAAAACAACAAACTTTTTCCCTTTCTTTGGAACTTCAAGAATCAAGTCTCCAATATCAAATACATCTACTCTTTTTTTTTGCTTATTATTCCCAATGTTTCAGTGCTTTTAACTCTTAATACAAAGTTCTTGTAAACATAATTGTTTACAACATATAGTTCATTGCTTCAATGGTAACTAAAAATATAAAAATGGACAGACTATTCAACTTAAAAAATGCATCATGAATAAACTCCCTACCAAATCATCTAGATGCTTGAAAAAGTACTGTACTTGATGCTTAACTCTGCCTTCTCTTTCCCTCAGAACACTTAAGAGATTAAAATTAGCCAAACTTGCATTTCTTTTAAAATGCTGTTTATTCAGTCAAGCTACCCAAAAATCAAAAAAAGTTCCAGCTTCCTATTTCAATCACTGACAAACAAAAATCTCACTGACAAGCACAGACAGGTAGATTCAGGCTGGGAGTCGCACAGCAGTGACTAGCAGAAAAATGAAACCTGATAATTTTATTTTTTTTTTAAATCAAAGTCTCTGTCGCATTTTGAAAGCAACAGTTTCGGTTTCGGTATTTCAGCACAAACACACATATAAACAAGCGCGCTGCCTCTGCGTTCCTAACTCCGAGTTGTTCGCAAGTGGCAACAGGCAGCAGCACCGCGGAACTACTGGGAAGCATTACTGGGAAGTGCGGGATGCAGCGGGAGCTGCCCGTCCTGCTTCCAGGCACGAAACGCATCACACCTCTCCGCTGCCCTGTCCTGGGCTGTCTGCACAATCTGCTCACGCCCTGGGGATGGAGATACTCCCTTCCTCGCCGCGGGAAAGTGCCGGCTGCCCGGGAAGGTGCAGCAGGGCAGCGCTGTCACAGGGGGGGCAGCAGGGACAGGAGGGGCCGAGGACCCGGGACCTCCCGTGCCAGGGGCTCATCCCGGCGGGTCCCGGCTCTCCTCCTCCGGGGCTCATCCCGGCGCGTCCCGGGCTCATCCCGGTGGCTCCCGCTCTCCTGCCCCGGGGCTCATCCCGGCGGCTTCTCGCCTCTCCCGCTCTCCAGAGCTCAAATCCGAGCGAGCTCCGTCCGTAGGCCCCTTTTCCACCGGATTTAACAACAGCGCAATTCTTGGCGGTGTTGTGGCTCTTTCACAGCGCCGACACCAAATAATTAAGATTCAAACGATACCAACCTACCGCCAGCAACAAGCTCCCATTATTCTAATTACTCGCACCTCGCCAACACTCCCGGCTCCAGCGAAAACACTTAATTAATTACAGGCCGATAAGGGGAGGTTCCGGAGCAGAGAATCGCCTTTTGTGTGTGCGAAGAGGGGCCGCCCGGGCCCCGGGGCGAGCACCGGCCCCGCCGCCGCCGCCGCTCCCCCCACCGCGCCCGGCCCTGCCCGCGCCCCCCCTCGCGGCCGCCCCCCGAGGCTCGGAGAGGGGTCGGGGAGGCTGTGGGGGCCCGCGCCGGCCGCGCCGAGGCCCCGCGGGCCGCACTCACCGCACTCCCCGCGGGCCCCGGGCAGGACGCGCGGGCGGGGCCGCCGCCACCAGCGCCGCCACTACACGGAGCGGGCCCGCCGCGCCTGCGCACGGCCACACGCACCGACCGCGCATGCGCCGCCCGCCGCGCCTGCGCGGCAGAGAGGGCTTGAGAGAGGGCTCTTGTCGCCCCCCCCGCGTATGTCGCGACAGGAACGAGAGTCGGCGACAGGACGGACAAACTCGTGTTTATTGACAGCAGAGGGAGAAGTAACTTCTGTGCGGGCAGGGCTGTCCTTCAGGATTTGGTGTAAAAGTCCACAACACCTGCGAGCTCCAGAGAAAGGCGACGAGGCTGGTGAGGGGACTGGAGCACAGGTGCTGTGAGGGGCGGCTGAGGGAGCTGGGGGGGCTCAGCCTGGAGAGGAGGAGGCTCAGGGGGGACCTTCTCGCTCTCTACAACTCCCTGACAGGAGGGGGGAAACAGCAGTAGGACAATAGAGCACAGTCTGTGCCAGGGGAGGTTTAGGTTGGACGTCAGGAAGTTCTTCATAGAGAGAGTGATCAGACATTGGCATGGGCTGCCCAGGGAGTCACCATCCCTGGAGGTGTTTAAGAAGAGCCTGGATGTGGCACTCAGTGCCATGGTCCAGCTGGCAAGGTGGTGTTGGGTCAGAGGTTGGACTCGATGATCTCAGAGGTCTTTTCCAACCTCTTTGATTCTGTGATTCAGTGAGCTCGTGGGACTTCCACTCACTCAGGACAGCCTGTGTTGTCCTGTGCTTGCCCCTGTGATTAATCCTGGGTTTGGATTTGCTCCACTGTTTGTTCCTCTTCTTGCTGCTGGCTAGGTTGTTGCTCCTGCATCTGAGGAGCTATTTGTTCTTCACTCAAGGCCTATGACAACAGAAAAAGGTGGAAGGAGGGATCACAGCAGGAGGCCTCTTTGTAATTGTTTTAATTCTGCGTAGATAAACCCCACACTTGTTACTGTGAATTCATGTAAAGATTTATCCTGAAATTAATTCCTAGTTATCTCCAAACCAATAATTGCAATCAAAAATTCTGACTTGACAAAAAAAACATTATTATATACGTCAGGGTTGGCTGCTTCTGACATTGCTGAAATGCTCCAAAAATGAAACAAATGGAATTCACCTGGAAAAACTGAACAGACCTTTTCCTGCACGGTCGAAGGCTCTGCACAGGTGGAAACAACCTCAGACATTGGTAGGACCTTGTCGTAGTTCTCTGCACTGAAAGTAAATGAAGTAGCTTAAGGTAACTGAATTTTGTGCAACTATTTTAATATTCATGACGTTTTAACTCAAAGATTTTAAAATTCTGGAAGAGGAATCTGCAGTTAAGATCTGACACAGCTGGGGATTAGCAGGGAACTCCAGGCAGTTCTTTACCTGGAAATATAGCAGCTACACTGTCAGACCAGAGCAAAGAGTTGAAAGCCTGGGCTGACCCTCCTGGTGCATCCCATGGAGCAATACTGAAGCACTTCAAGCTTCTCTTCACATCAGCACAAGCAGAGGTTTGATTCTTTGACACTAACTCAAGGCTAAAAGTCATCACAGAGTTTTTGACAAGACAAAGGCCCCCGTGAAACACCTCTGTGCTTAAGAAAAAAAAATTCACCAATCAGGCCACCAAAGGGATTTACTGTTAAATCTGGGAAAAAAATATTGACAGTAGAATTAAACTTACAGAAACCTCTTTGAGGAACTCCTTTTTCTAGTAGTCATTGTCACCAACTCAAAGTGATTCATATAGATTTGGGTACGCTCAGAATCCCGGTCCTTAGCATAGGCTTGGCTAACACAAAGAGGATAACCACCTATGTTCTGCAACAAATACAAATTCAAGGTACCAAAAATAAGTAATCATGAGTGCCCTGTCTCAAAAATCATAGTTAACAGTAGTCTTGACTGAAGCCAATTCATATCCTGCCCCTTAAAGGTTAAAATAAACAGCTCCCTCTCCTTATTTTTAATGTATTGATCATGCAAAATGATACATCCAAGGTCATGCTGTCATAGCACTGAGGAAATTCATATTTCGAAGTAAAAAACCCTAAGTCCTCACAATGCAAAGCACATTTCAATTTAAACTCACCTTTCCCTCTGGACCTGCAAAGGCTCTCATGTAATGACTTTGGCATTGCTTGGGGGAGCGATAAACGTAGTTGGAGGAGTTAACGACATCGCTGACAAAGTCCCAGTTTGCTGTCAGTGCTGGAGACACAACAGCCAGGTTTGAAGGAGGTGTCCGTGACTGTTTCATGGCCTGAGGGGCAGAGGGAAATCCCATCTGTGAAATGTTCCAATTAAACGCTCTTCTTGTGTGCACAAACACGTATAATTCCTGTATGAAGCGAGGTCTATGGATGCTGTAATAAACTTGCAGGTAAAAACTTTCTGAAGTCAATAAAAACTTAAGTACAATCTTACTTTTAACAGAGCCACGTCTTCAGCAATCAGCCATGCAGGGCCATCCTGCCCAGTGTCTGCAGCTGAGCTGGTGAGAGCTGACAAAGGCTTTGCAAAATACATTTTCTGTGGTACCCCGGGCAGGGCCTTCTGAGCTTGGCTCTTCTGCCGTGTTTTCATTATTCTTGGAGTCACTTGATCAAACAGTGAAGGTGGAGGAACAACCATCCTCCTGTGGCAACGCTTCTTTCTCTCCCCTGAAGCTAATTGGCAAAAGTTTTATTATCTGCAGTAAGAAAGGAACTTTGTGCACCAAGATCATGACAGAAAACTGAGTGCTGCAAAACACCTGATTAATGATAAGCCTTTTGCAGGTCCCTTCAACTCATGGTGCCCTAGGACAGTATTTGACTTGATCAGTCATTTTTAAATAACTTCTCTCTTCACTATAAAACAAGCTTAAAAACAGATCAAATGGAGGAAGAAGGGTCTCACCGCTTTATTCCTGCTCATTTAATTCACCTGTATTCCTATTTCTAATTTGCAAGGACAATAGCAAGTTTTCACATCTCATCCCCCTGCTCACTCTACAGTCAATCATTTCATCTGAACCCCATCAGTCTTACCAGAGATAATGGTACCTGCATGTCTACATTTGTAAACACAAAGAGATTCTTGCAGAAGGGTTTTCATACTATTTCACACAAAAATGTGAATTTTGAATCCAAACTTACATGACAGCTCCAATCTCTGCCGCTTCCTGACAAACACAGGGGGAAGCTCAGACTCTGGAATTGGGGTGCTGGTGTACATCAGGCACAGGACAGAGTCAGTGTAGACATCAGCATGATTCTCAGGTACAACAGGGGGAGTCCAAAGCTTAAAAACAAACAAAAAAACCCACCCCAACATCAGCAACAGCAAAAAACTCCCCAGTCAAACAAAAAAACACCAACCCACAACCCACAGTCTGCCATGAAATAAAGTATTTTAGGTAAGGTTTCCTTCATATGAAATAAGAGCTACTGACTTACAGGCATTATTTCTATTTCTCCATCTGGCCCTTCACTGACAAATTCCTGTATGAGACACAAAGAATTTTTGATAGCTCAATACATTATCCAGCCCAGAGCCCAGCATTTACAAACATAACCTTTTTCACAACAACTACAATTTAAAAATTACAGTAGAAAAATATTTTAAGGAATGACTCAATTTTCAGCATATTTCTCAATCTCTTCTTCAGTTATTATTACCTTGATACATAACTGTGAACTTCCAACTGAAGTCAACCTGCCAACCCACAGAATTTACAGAATTAAAACTGCTCACAGAGTGACAGCTTTCATTTCAAGAGCACAATAATTGTGCAAAGACTCAAGCCCAGTGCAATACAAACCCAACAGACATAAAGACGTGGTTCACTGTGATAATAAGTAAACTTCTTAGAGAAGCAGAGGTTGGAGGTTGATGTTACCGTGTTATAAGCGTCCTGTCTGGTATAGGTTAAGAGTTCCTCTCTCACTTCCTGCTGAAATTTTTGTTCTGCCTTTTCCAGCTCCTTGGCATGCTGATATTCCCATTTTATATTTGCAATTTTCAACTCCTTTTAGGAAGAAAATTTGTACATTTTAAAACATTACTATTTTTCTCACTAAATATGCTGACAGCAGTAAATTGGCACTGATTTGAGTCTCGCCTTTCATAGGCTAACAGTCAATAGCAAAGTTAGTTAAAATGAGATTTTATTCTTGGGTAAGGCCCTCATAGCAGTAAAGAGAAAGGGAAATATGTCTCCCTTTTAATTAGGAACCAATGTGTTTTCAGACCACAGTCACTTCGAGCAAAATTTCTGTGCTCATAACAAAACAAAACAAAAAACTGACAACAGTTAGAGTTTTATATTTTATTGTTATTAGTACTCAGAAAATGAAATATAGTTGCTTACCTCGTTGGCTTTCTGGCTCTTTTGATCATCCAAAGTATGACACAATTCCAAGAAATTAAATGCATACTTTTCAATTGGCTTAAGCTGTTGAGAAAAGAAAACATTTTGACACATTGGTAGTTCTTTAGCTTTTGAATTAGAAACATGTAAATAACAACAAGCAGAAAAACAGTCCAACCAATAAATATATTTATTTTGGTTGCAAATAATGGCACCACAATTCAGGCAGAAAAGATATATAAGGACAAAAAAACATGATTAAAACATGACTAGTTCTAACTCGTCTGCTCCCATCTCAATGGTACCACTGAAAATAGGCTCCAACTATTGACTTCCATTTTCCTAACTGGAAAAAAAATGAGAATCCCACCCAAGTTGTTACAAACACACTTGACTGGTCATTAGCAAGCAGGCTGCTACTTGGGTCCTGCACAAGTAGTCAAAGGAAAAAAGAGACAATCCAAATCCGACAGAACTTCAGGAATGCTGTGAATAATCATTTAATGGTTAAGAAGAAACAGATCCTAGTCCTTGTAAGAAAAATCACAAGTATCTGCAAAGCACAGGGCTGTAAACTGGTTTTATATCACTTTAAATGTCATGAAGTGCATTTAGTCCAATATACTTTACAATCCTCAGGAGAACATTTGGGGACTTAAGTGCTTTGGTCATGAACAGATCTATCAACAAGCTCAAATTACCTCCCAGGAGCGTTTCAATATTTAAGTTTGCACAGAACTCTTCAACGTAAATAGATTGGAAATAAGATACTTCATGAAAACCACTTGATTGTTGCACAGAAAATTCCAAATATTTCTAAAGGTTTCCATAAAACAAGAGAAGTCACCATACCTGATCCACCAAGCCAGCCAGCTGTTCTAACTGAGGAGGAACCATGGTGTTTCTTGAATCATACAGCTCTGAATCTGTGTCATTCCTTAGCTCAGACAGTGTCTCTTCTGTAAATTTTCTAGAATCCTCGTTTCCACATTCAGGGCAAAGAACCTTATGGAAACATGTTTTCAAGTATTCAATAAGACAGTGTATGATGTCAAAATTTTTTTCAACATCCTAAAATTGAGTTTAGAGAAGTCAGATTACAGATATATTTGACAGCTTTTGCTGCAGGAGATGTTGGTTTTGCTTGATTAAAAGAATGTCAATAACAGAGTAAAATTTTCATTGGAACAACTTTTATTTCTAGATAGTTATCTTCCTATTTTCTATATGAGCTAAAAATTCAGGATCTCTACTGACTTTAACTGTGAACACATATCACTGGCTCCCAAACAAGTATAGAAATAAATACAGAACTACCCATTCAAAATTCTGATCTAGGAAAACACTTATTTTTTTATGTATCATTAAGTAACTGCTCACATTCTTAATGTTACAGTACCTGAGATAAAAAGTCTGTTGAACAATCCTCTCCCTGAGCGGCCAGTTCTTGAATCAAATGTTTAATACCTTTTTTCAACAGACTCTTTTCTACAGAATTACCACTTACAAGCCTGTAAAACAAAACAAAATGCTGTTGCCTAGAAAAACAGTGATCCTCTATGAAACCTAACTGTTTCATGTCTAATGCTCCACAATGACAACACTCATTTGGAGTCCATCAAGTGTTTTCATATTTGACTCTTAGTTTCTTAGAGGAAAGCTTTCTTTATACACCTGCTTTCATATTTTCAAAACACTGTGTTCTTTTAAGCTCTTGTTTTCAAAATAAGCAGTAAACAGATTGTCTTCTGTACATCTGGATTTAAAAAAAAAATACAAGAGCAGGGTATTTACTGAGGGTGTCTGCACTGCACACCCACCTGCCTGTGGTGTAAAGTGAGCAAGAGCTCCCCTGTGCTCTCAGCACAGCCTCCCAAGGAAAGAAATTATCACTTAAGAGCAGCTTTCAAATACATCTTCCAACAACACAAACATCATCATCTCATCGCTAATGGATTTGAAATCCAGTGGTAGATCAAGTAAGGCATTTCTTGTTTACCAAGAGCTGAAAACACCCCCATTTGTTTTGACTGTCCCAACACAGAAGTCCAGATGGTTTGTAAGATGAAAGTGGGAGGGAAAGACAGGAACAAAAGACACAGTAAGGAAAAGGACAGAATTTTCCTTTTCCCTCTAATCTGAAGGGAAGATGTGTGATATGATCTTTAAAGGGATCTTAAAAGACCAAATTACTTGAACTAAAAGGATGGCCTCAACCAGAAATCCTTGTTTCACCCAAAATCATCTTCCCTCTATTTTCGATTTTAAAACACCAATACTATTTCTTAGCATAAGTCACCTGTATATGTGGATATCTCTGCCTCTTGCAATTTTAGCACACCATCCCTCAGCCTTTGTGTCCACCAGCAGATCCAAATCAGTGTCATAGAAGACAACAGTGTTCACATCTATGTGACTGACACCTGTGGAAGGAGTGTGGGGAGAAAGGAGAGCACAGAAGATCCTCTTGTCTTGGTTGAAGTTTTTAATGGATTCCTAAAATGGGGAAAATAAGCAGCTTAATTAGAAAGTCACATTAATTAAGAATAAATTTCCGCACAAACTTTTTTAACAAAATGAGAAGATTGGAAAAATTGCTTTGCTATAACTTCCCCAACCTACATCAAGCATGCAAACGTTTTAAGGGATCTGACTGCCCACATTACAGATCTACACAATTCAAAATTAATTTGTCCACCATTAAAACTATTAATTTATGGTCCAGTCAGCCAGATAAAAATCTAGAGATCTATTACAGTAATCACATTATGTCCTATGACTAAGCACACCTGAATTATTATATCCTGTACGTGCTTCCTCATTTTTTTTGTCTGTTGACTAAATTGACTCCCTTCTATTGTGCTGCCTTGTGTTGCTTTAAGGCAAAGTATTCTTTAAGTTTCATATAGCATCTGACAGAAAGCATAATGATACAATTTGAAATAAAAAATGATAATAATTTAACTATATTGGTAATGTTTGCTCAAACTGTAGGCCCCAGAGGATACAGAGAATCTTACTGGGGAGGGAAATGAGCATACTTTTAGTTTATCCTCAGGCAATGCCAGGGCACTCCACAAAAAAGTAAAAGCCCCTGGAGTAAGGCTGAGGAAGTGCCAACATAAAAACAGCAGCTACACTTCAAGTACTAACAATGCAAATAGCTGCAGATAATGAAAGCAAAAGCAGTTAATCAAAATGCTATTGTGAACTAAAACATCTGCATTTCAAGCACAAATTACTCATAAACATAGGACAACTAGTGCCATACTTCTTGGAAACACCCCGGATGCCTCATCAAATAGTAATATGACTGACATATTTCATAGATAATTACATATTTGTGCTCCAGCTACATACATAATTTGCTTCAATAAGGAAGGGAATTATGCAAATGAATTTTGCAAATGTATTAGGCTTCCCTTTAGCATTTTCCCTCTCACTATGAGCATCTATTAACTATTAGCTTGAGTAAGAGATCCTCTTACCAGATGATGCCAGCTGTGAGCACCACTCTCACCAACTCGTACGTACGTGAGGAGATGGAGGGTCAAGAAAAGCTCCAGGATATCAAGCATTGGAATCCTCTGTGTCCATATGAGCACACGCTCTCCTCTTGCTTTCAGCTTCCGAAGCAAGACAGCCAGAGCTTCCATCTTGCCTGTTTATGAAACAAGAACCTGCAGGTCCCACTCAACCATTAGAGAAAGCCCAGGCAGAGCCAGGGGTGGGTTTTTAATACCTGAGTCCCACTGCACCAGTCGGGGATCTGGGAACTGCACAAAATTCTGCTGCACTGAATGGGAGTAGGGAAGGAGCTGTTCCTTGAGATTAGACTTCAAGAGCTTCATTCCATGGGTGTATGTGTAAGGAGGATGGGTCACATACAGACATGGAGGAGCGACAGCTACAGCTGGCAACACACACAGATCTCTGTAAAACAACCCCAAACTTTATGATAATAATTTTTAACTGCTTGGGCTATTAACGGCTCAAAAACAGTCATAAAGATGTTTGCATAGAAACATAAAGCACCTGGCTAAGGGCAACTGAAAGTAAATCAGTGCATGAAGTTTTATGTTAGCATCAAGTAAATGCTAAAAAACACTCAAGAGGAAATTACCACTATCCATAAGGTTATCAAGATAAGCTTACTACACCTCCTGCTTTTTTGCCAGTATTAACACAACAAATACAAGATAAGTCAAAGTAGAATTGCTACATAACTAATGACAATTGCCATGGAACTATTTAAGATCTTAAAATGATCTAAAATTACACATCTGGGATACAAATAGATTCAGCATAAAGGAATTTAGCCTGCAAAAAAGATAAAACAGGGCAGCTCATTTTATCACTTTTGGCATTTTACAGTACTTCACATAACAGCCTGTGTTGGAGGGTAGCATACACCCATCAAATCCATGCACAGACTGCAGATGGATTTGTCTCAATTACCTCATTATAACATCCTTCAGGGTGATCTGTTGCTGCTTCACTGTCAGAATGAGTTCCTGCAGTGGATCCTCTGCAGTACTGGGACATGGAAGGCAATTTGCAAAGCCAGCCCAGAGCCACTTGTTAATCCTGGCAGAGCAATGCTGAGAGATTTTTCTTTCACTGATCCAAGAGCAAGTTTCCAACAGGTCTCTGCCATACAGGGGGGTTCTGGAACAACGACGCTCATTCCAAGAATATATTTTGTCCAGGTGTTCCTTTAGATGTCTTTTTTCTTCTAGGATACTCTTTAAATTCAAAATTCTTTTCTGAATCTATTTCTACCAGATAAAGCTTATGCAAGAAAAAAAAAAAGAAATTTATGCAAAACGAAGTAGAAAATAGGGATAATTCAGATAATACCAAAGTTGTGTGAATGACTCTGAAAGGAGAAGAGAGCAGGAGAAAAGCTGATAATTAGTATTTGTGATACAAGGACAGATGTTAGGTTTGGTATTGTAATGCAAACTAAATCTGCTTTCCTACTCTATGCCTACTGGCAAAAATGTAACAGGACTTTCAAGCAACTGTTGGAGAGTCCACGAGTACAGATGGATCAGACTGGGAAATTACAATATTCTAAATGCTTTAATATTAAAGCTTTGATTATTTCACACACATGAATCTTGTAAACTATATATTGTTCCTGATCAAGTACATACTTATGATATAAAGAGTTAGCACACTACCTGAGTTGGACACAAAAGTGTAGATGCTGATTTAGGTTTAGTACTCAGGTCATCCACTGTCTCATTAATAAATTCATTTGTTTTTCCAGGAAAGCAGCAAGACAAGAAGAAAATTAATTTCACAGACACATGATATTACAACATGAAGATAATTATAGCTTCTGGAATTTTGATTTCTAAAGGGTTAAAAAGTTAAAAAAAAAAAAGATTTAAAAAAAAGATAAATATGTGAATTGAATTATGTAGCACCTTACCTTGATGCTTCAGAGACTGTCTATCAATAAGTTGACAGAATTGACTGTAGGACACAGTAAACATTTTCCCTCTAAACTGTAATGTTACAGGCTTCTCTGCCTCAGCAATTCTCTCTTGTGCTCCAGCTGTGGAAGCCATGAGTAAAGTTTTGCTGGCTGTGAAGAGAAGACAAAAAAGGTACAAGGGTAAAAAGAAGAATTTCCTCACTGTACAGTGCAGGATTTCAATGCTTATCCCACCCATACAGTGTGGGACACTGGATTGCTATTGAAGGGCAGCTTGACTCCAGACAAAACTCTTACTTTGCACTTAACTGCAAACAGACTGGATGTCCCTCTAATACTGCCCATTTTGGGGTGAAAACTAACCACAGAATAAGAGATCATCTGCTGCACAATTCATTTTTAGCAATGAAAGACAACGAACACAACTGCCAGCAAAATTTCCAGTGTTTGCACAATAGTATCGTTCTGTTTATGAAGGACAAATAGATTATAAGGGATTTTATTTTGCTTTTGTGAGCAAAGTCCTGTTAGAAACCTGCTAATGGAACTTGATTCACAAACACATGGAGTACAACCTCATTTCTTTCCCATATTCAAGCAATATTAAAAAAAAAAAAGAGAGCAAACCAGAAAGCAATGGTTTATTTTACGTACAACACACCTTTCCTACGCTGATTGTTTGAAAACAGGGCAAGGGGTTGTTGTCTTTGTGTTTTCTCATGATGATCTGCCAGAACTGCTGCTGTGTCCACTGTCTGCTGCACCTGAGACCTTGAGAATTCTTCAGTCCTACTTTCAGGTTTCTGTCCATACTGCACTGGTGTAAATAACCTAAAAAATTAACAGATGATCTTTCTACACATTCAACAAAACATACACAAGGAAGCTGTTAATCCATTCATCCCAGTACAAAAATCAAGCTCAAAGGCAAATACTTATTTTGAGTCAGTAATCTGAGCTTGAAGAGGCACCCAGATGCAGAGCATATGGCAGGAGGGATTCTGCTTCCCTCAACATGCAGAAGAAACACAATATACTGTAAAATGCAAATGCTCTGAGGCTCCAGTCATCACTGAAAGATTATGTGGAAGGGGCATGACAGAGCTCCCATATCCCTTAATCATCTTTGGAGGCTGGAGACAGCAAGAGAACTCCCCAAAAGGGTCAAACTCTTAATGGAGCAAAGCCTTAACTATGGGTATGAGTTTAAAAACACTGCAGTTGTAAAAGCTGACTTCACAATAACTGTTTAGTGTATCCTGCTTCCAGGAAAGCAAAGATGTCTAAATAGGAAAAGAACAAGTTCTTTTTCTGCTTCACATATATATTTCAGCTATTCCTTCCAATTCTTTAATTTCATTAACTGTCAATGCTCCCTTCTGGCAGAATGGCCTAATAAAACTAGTGCAGGACATCCTCATTGTCACCTATCACAGCCACATGTCACACAAGCTGTCTTGGGCTTCACTAACCCTACTCTGCTTTTATCAGGTTAATTTATTGTAAAATTTAAGGCTACATTGCTCTACAGCAAAATTACATTTGCTCCAAGGCTCAAAAATGAACCCTCCCAACTGCTCTTCAGAGAGAAGACTCAACAGCAATAAACAAATAAGCTCAAAATTTAACAGAATATCTTTTCCTCCCCCAGCAAAAAAAGAAAAAAATTCTTTAAGTGCCTTGCAAGTACACCTTAGATTTAAAATTAACTAGGAGAAGATTTAATTATTCTGTTTAGGAAACTCTACTGCAGAAGTCACTTCCACTGTTTGATCAAAATCACAAGAGACTTCAACTCTATTGAGTGTGTCAGAAAAGATCAAGACTGAGCCTTCACAAATGAAAAGAACTATTAAGTGGTAAATATCACTCTGCTTTCCCTCAGAAGGCTGGCACACAGTGTTCAGCAGTGATCAGTAAACAAAAGATACCAAGAGAAACAAATAATTCTGATTTAATCCCCTCAGCCCTCATAAATATTACCCATTTCCACCTGTTACTTAAAATAAATCAATCAACAAACAAATAAATAAATCACCAGAACACCACATACCTGTTTGGTTTGAGCTTCACTGGCTCAAGTCTGGGTGTTGAAGGGGAGCAGTAGATCTCTTCAATAAGCTTTCTAGTTACCTTCAGTTTTGGCAGTATTTGTGCCTCGTAGCAAGTAATTTGGTTTTCCATCCCAATCACATCGAAGAGAGACCGGTCTGCATGCTTAAGTTATTAAAAAAAAACACAAAAAAACCCACAAAGTGAAGAAATATTTTACTACCATTCAGTTGCAGTTAAAAAAAATAATGGTAATAATTCCCCATTATCTGAGAATGAGCAAAAAGCTCACAGCTGATGGCAGAGCTGAAGTGAAACCTGGAAGAGCCAAGTGTCATGTGACTGTTCTGGGAGCAGCTGCCGTTACTTTAAAAGGTTTCAACAACCTACAGCATGAAAATGGAGCATTATGCTCATGTTACCAGGAGTCAAAACCAGTCAAACCTCAAATTACAATCCTTTGCAGAACTGGTGTTCCTGACCCACCCATTCCCACCCTGACACATTAACCCCATTTCCTTCACAAGCCTTTGATGCTCACCCTGTCCCCCCACCGTAAATGATTTTTCCAACGGGCTTAAAGAAGAAACTATTTGAATTTCCCAGGACACACAATGCTACTTTTTTAGCTTTGTCCAGTCTCTCTTAAGCCTCTAATATTGCTGAAATCACTAGCAAAAAAAAAAAGATGAAGTCCCTTGCAATGTAACTTTAACAAACAGACAACAGTTAAAGCAAAACTGGAATCTGATACAGCTTCTTATCTCCTGGGCTGTTCACAGCTTAACTATGCCCTTACTGCTGCTCAGGTCATGATGAGCAGTTCAGGTTAATTGGGAAATTTCAGGAAAACCAGAAAATGTTACAAAATAGTCTCACTTTCTTTGACAGGGATAGCAAATTCCCAGCATACCTACTAAGTTCAGTACTAGCACAAAATCAATGGTTATTATTTATAATAAATCTTAGCAGTTGCTCCTAATAATAAATGAATGAGCAATTCAGATTTTGCAATTTAATTGGAAAATTAAGAAATTTTCTGTCCTGTGCCACTGGCTCTCTCAGTCAAATCAAGTCAAGCACAGGAGAATTCCTTTCCTCCTCACCTTCCAAAAGTCCCATCCCACTGCATCCAGCACTGGAGAGGCAGTTGTGAACTGCAGCCTGTCCAACACGCAGGAGGAGCGTGGACAGCGGGGACTGAGCAGATCAGGGTGATCACACACCCTCAGCAGCTGCCTCAGAACCTGCAGGATGCTGCCAAAGTGCCCACTTCTAAGACATTCTTGAGCTCTGTTATTTAAAGTGAAAATGTATTTTAAGTGACCTTTTAAAACAGTGCTTTTTAGGAGCTCGGGTCTCTCTTCACACTCAAATTGTTGTTCTGAATTAATCTGAGAACACCAAGTTATCACATTTTGAAAAGTACGAGTTTATAAAGATGCAGCCTTCCATTCCTCCAGTTTCTCTCACATTCACACAAACTCAATAATTTACACAAGATATTCTGTCTTTAAAGTTACATTATCATAAAAGGGATTTTCTCAAATAGGCACTCTATTTCCAATGGAAATGACACTGGATAATATATGAAACACATATTGTCAATATTAAGGCCTTTTATAAACACCTGAATAAATATCACTTTAAATTATTGAATTCACCGGAAAATACAAACTAGATGTATCAGAAAATCAATGTAACATATAATCTAGAATATTCAGTTCTTAGATAACTTTAGAACTAAATTTAAACAAAAACTGTGACACAAGATCAATTGCTATAAATATTTTGCCCATAATCTGCAAACACTCTTTGCTTATTTATGCTTCTTTTCACTTTGCAAAACATCTATATAAAAATAAACAGAGGATGAAGAAGTGGCTGAATGCAGTTACCACTTGGTGTGGATCAGCCTGCACAGCACCACGTTTATGCCAATGTGCTTTAATCTTTACTTTTGCCCATGACTCACTCAGAATTAACACACGAGCAAACAAGCTCTCTTATTGTCACTGGAAGAGTTCCTCACTTTAATGATGACTGAACAATTAAGAACTACTCAAGAGCTGTACCTTGGCTGAGACAGGACGTCTTTATACATCACCTTCTGCCGGTTAGAGAGAGCACAGGTGAGCACGTGCTCATATTTCCTGGGCAGCTGCTTCTCCACATGAATTTGGGACCTCTGCAAAATAAATGACTGCACCACCTAAAAGAATACAGAACAATCATTTCCTAATTGCATTTTCTCAGAGAAGGAAGTTCTAGGAGTAAGATGCTGTGCTCAGCAGAGACATACTCTGTGCAGTCTCACTGCAACTCTCTGGTGATGCTCTTTGTTCTCCTCCACAGATGCTGCCTTCACAGAATCCACATAGGATTGGGAAGTCTCTGGAATCAGGAAACAGGCAATGGCCCACAGATCTTTTAATGAAGTAGGCAGAGGTTTATTCATCAAGAGTAAGCGATGGTGACTGCGAACAACGAAGGTAACAATTAGGGTAAGATCTATTTCATAACTTAAATTACATCACAGAAAGAAAATTTTAAAAACCTGCAGTTATAAGCACTGAAGTTATTTCAGAACTGACAGACAAAAACCAAAAGAAAAGTGTGAATGAATGCTTCAGACCTCTGGAGATGGAATATTGCATCCCAGTGCTTCTCTGTCAGATCATTCCCATTCTGCCTCTCATCTAAAACCAGGTACCTCCACTGTACTTTCATGAATGCTTCATAGTCTTTCAGGAATTGCTTGCAGGAAGCAATACAGACATTGAAGTTGCTGGGGTCAGACCATTCCTGCAACACAAAAACCACAGAAATCCTAAAGGCTTTTTGATGGTTTTTAGAGATTATTGTTTCCTCTTCTGGGATTAAAATAGATTATCTTGCACTTTATCCCAGGGCAGTTCTTCAAAGGTTTCAAAATCCCAAAAGGCAAGAGAATGCTCAGTTTAACTCTCTGTTTGTGATGTCTGAAACATTATTAAAAGTGTATTTAATAGGACTTCTGTTTCCTTAAAGAAGAATAAACTTTTCCTACAAAACACAGTAGACCTGAAGTTTTTAACCACAAGTTTTTAACTCAGGCTGATATTCTCTTTCTGTGTGATGTTTATGCTACCCAGTACCTGTGTAAATGAAATGATGTTCCACAATACCTGCCCAGTTTTAAAAAGTTCTCCTGGGTTTCCAACATACAGAAGAATTTTGAAAGCAGGACACCAGCGTTTCAGTCCAACCTCCCACTTCAGCACATTAATGCTTTGTGAGACAACAAGAATAGGACCCCAGTTACCTACAGAGATAAAAGATAAAGCAGGATTGGAATGACTGTTTACCATTTCAGAAATTACAAGAAAAGGCAATAATGTATATAGACAACATACACATGCACTAGCAATTATAGGAATTGGGTATACTTTTAAAAAAAAATATTCCAGGTACACTTCTTTAAATTACATATATTAAAAGCAATTTTTTTTTCATCTTACTGAAAACATTCATTAATGAACTGTTAAAAATATAGAACTATAAAATATTTATAATATTTCATACCTTCATTACATGCGAGATGTGCAAAAAAAGCAACGACTTGCACTGTTTTTCCAAGCCCAGCTTCATCAGCCAGAATGCCATTGAGATTCATCTTGTACAGCTTTGCCAACCACTCCAGCCCAGTTTTCTGATAATCTCTAAGAGTTCCATGTAGCAAGGATGGGGTATCCCATTTTACAGCTGTCATGTTTTGAGCACTGCCTTTGGGTAACAATGCTCCTGCAGCAGCAGCAGTGCCTGCTAAATCTGCCATGGATTTCTCCACAGTAGATGTGAGAAGATCTGGAAGCACCACCTCCTTCTGAAGGCTCTCATTCTTATTTGAAGAGTCTCTTTTTTCTGCACAAAATAATAAAATCACAGTGCTGCCATATCTGAGAGGAATAATTCATTAATAGATTTAATGCCATTTACAGCTAATCCAGGGTCTGAAGAACATAGGAATTCTTCAGTACAATAATACTGTTTAAGTGTCTCAGACTTCATAAAGAAGGGCAAGCTGAGGTGGGACACAGGTGGACACACAACAGTTTCATGGTCTCATTAATGGTCTGCAAGGGACATAAAACTAAACTCTGACACCAACAAGAGTTCAGCAACAAAAAGCCTTCACAGTGTGTTAAAAAGCTTTAATAACCCACAGGAAGTTAGTGAGCTGGAGAAAGGAGATATTTATGACTCAAATCTAAGAACAAAATACCAGCTCCTAAACATCTTTCTGGGTAACCTTATTCTACTACCAGTATGCAAGAGAAAAAAAAAGGTCATGCAAAAAAACCAACCAACCAACCAGAAAACCTCCCATGTTCTTATTACCTTTTTTTGAGACATTCTGCAAGTTTAATGCTTTCTTCCTCCTCTCTTCTAACTCTACTTGCAGCTTTAAATCTACCACCTCAAATGGAGGGAGAGCAGGGTAGAGGGAAAGAAGGAGAAGGAAATGACAAACATGAACACATTTACCTTCAAATACACCTGTGGATTAATTAACAATCCTTCAACAGCAAGACAGGCATCAGACACTGCTACAATGCAGAGCCCTCAAATCAAAAAACAGCGTTTGGAACTGCCCATGAGTCATCCCTGTAACACGCAGGAGGTACCCAAGAATAACTCACATCAAAACTTAAATGTCCACTGTGAGCCAACTGCACGGGCTGTGATCAGTGAAGCTCTCTCCTTCCTGACATATAAGGCCTGAAATTATTCATGCAACCATAACATGCAGCTGTCTTTACCAACAGATAATATTCACTCCGGGGCTGAGCAAAGAAAGCTCAGTTGTAAGATTATTGCTGTTATGGTCCAATAGGTTTTTATTCAGTACAACTTTAGATTTTTTTATTTTCTTTTTTTACATTTACCTGTTTAATGGTGGACCAGAAGTGTTCAATTGCTCTGGCAGCAAAAGCAGCAACAGCCCTCAGTTGCTTCTCTTCTCTTTTCTTGCATCTTTCCTTATGAAGTATCACATCCTCGTGGTGACGAGCTACACTTAAAATCAGCTGAATAAAGCCATGAAATTATTTTATGTTTTTACTCTGTTCTATCTAAAAAGCAGATTTCTAGAGAAAGAAAATAATTACAATCCCTTTAAGAGTACTGTTTAAAGTTTACAAACGCAGTGGAGAGGCAACCCAAACCTCACACATCCTCCCTGATCACATCCTAACCATGAAAATGCTGCCTATTCTCCTCCCTCTTTTCTGGTTGAAAATATCAAATCCACATTACCCTCCTGGCACTTATTATCTTCCATCTTCTTTCTTGAACAAAATCAGTTGCCATCCACTGCATTTCTTCCAAAAGATAATCATGGTGTGATTTGTGCCGTGGGGCCTCATGGAGTTTGGGCAGACGCTTCAGAGACCATAAACCTTCTTTCCTCAGTGCTGTTATTCGCTGCAGAATTTCATTTTCCTGCGAGTAAACATAATTAAACTCATGTTTCCTACTGCACAACATGAAAACAAGACAGAGACACTGTGAGAAATGGTACACGGATAACCAACAGAAATCATTATCCAATCCTTGGAAACATTCTACAGTGTTTGAAGTTGCACTTTGTTAAAAGAGAATGAATAATGCATTTTGTGCAGATTTATGTAAAGTCTCTGAAGGACTTTATAGGGCAGCAGTATGATGAAAAATCAGTAGAGAAGCTTGGGATGCAGTGGTACTCAGTCTTGAGAACTTTTATGTTTTTCCTCCTAAAATATAGTACCTCTAGATCTCATCAGAAGTGCAGGGCTGATTCAGTGAGAAATTTCACAGAATTTAAATACTCTGCCAGATGGCACATGGACAGAACTCTCTGAGAAGTTCATATAAAAAGACATTTAGTTTCTGGCATTTTTATTAACACATGTAAGCATCCTGCAACTGCTGGCAAGCAAGCACAAGCAGCACTAATTTTCTTTGTGATTCCCCCCCCCTTATTCTAAACAGGCTGCATAAAAAGTTAAAATAATGGATTCTGTTTAATTAAACCTCCTTCTAGGATTTCATTACAAGAACAAATGCTCTCTTCCCTGGAGAACGTGCCTGATTCCTTCTCATTCCTTCTCTTTCTTTAGAAAAAATCATTTGTGTCTGCAGCACTAATTAAAACCAAATGAGAGACACAGGTATCTACAGAGCATTCTGAATTTAAATGAACACAAAGTTTTACTGTAAAGAAAGATTTATACCCAGCTGTGCTATACCATGGTTATATGAAGAAAATTGTCAGGCTTGGCAAAGTCATCTGCATAAACTACTGAAATTATTTGCTCCTTTCTCCCCAGGTTGGAGTAATAAATTCTGCCATCCACAAAGTCTGCACACAAAACACAAAGGTCAACACTGCCAGGGCACAGGGAGGGGTAAGCACACTGTTCCCTCTTGCTGCACCCATAATTCACTTACCTGCAGCCTTCCACACACTGCTGGCACTTATTTTGAGGAATGCAATGAATTTGATCCAAAGAAAATGAAAATCCAGCACAACAATACTTAAACTGAGAGTTGGGCAGACATCGCAAATGATATAAATGAACAGATATGTTCTTCACAGAAGTAAAAGTTCAAGGGAAAGTAGAGGTAAAGTGCCAAAAATTAATCTTAGACTTCGAATGAGACAGATTTACCATTCTGATTCTGAGGATACTCTCTTCCCAGTTTCAGACTATTTAATGCTGCAGAGCAGATGACAACAGCAATTCTAATGCACAAAAAACAGCCATTCAAAGCCACATACAACATGATATGCAAATCTGACACCTGTTGTGGTGAGGGAACTGGAGCTGGGACCACAACCACATGCTTCTTACCCCAGCCTTTTGGTTGTACCTGCTGAGGAAAAGCTGGGTTCCTGCTGTGTGGAGCAGGGAAGGAATGATGCAAACTTGGCAAAGTTTGGTCCATTTTGCTGTTGGTCTCCCTCCTGGCTAATCTGTTGAGCCACTTGAGGAACAGGAGGCATTCCACCTGCAGAGAGACTTACAAAAATTGGAATTTCAGTAAATAAAATAGTGAAATAACAAAAAAGTACCGAAGAAAGTGGCAACACAGCCTGTTACATGGCTGATTAAATCAACTTCCCACCATACCCCAATGCAACTGCCTGCCTGAAAGCTCTGAGGGTGTGAATCAATCAGAATGCCAGTCCAGGATGTACTTACTTGCTCTTCAACCTGACAACACCGAGATCTTTGTTAACAACATCCTACAGAAGGCTGGCAACTACACAACCAATCATTATCAGGGTATCAAATGACCAAAAGGGAAAAATTTCATGCAAAAACATTAATTAAGGAAAGCAACAAATTAGGCTCAGAGGGTGCAAATTTAAACCCAATGCATGGAAAATGAGATGTGCAGCGCTCACTAAGATTTCCAAGATTTTCTCCAGAGGGTTTTTAAAAAGTGTAATAATTGGTATTAGATATAATGTTACAATTACAGAAAAGCTCATTAAAGCAATTATCTTTAATTACAAAGCTTAAAACTTACACTTAATTGTAAATCGTTAATATATGTACTAGATGTACCAGCATTATTTTAAAGAGTGTGACTTCTTTTTTAAACTTTTATCAGAACTAATTAGGAATCTCTGTGAAGTGCTATTTTTGAAATGAAATAAAGTTAACCTAATAAAGTATCTCATTATCAGTAAAGCAGTGCATTGGACCAACACTCCCAAAGCTCCATCCACACTTATGTCTGATTTAACTTCTACATTATTTTGCTATGAAATGGTTTTTATGATCACAGAATTGCTTCCTGCCCAACTATAAAGGGAGTTGATCTCAATGGTCACTGACCTTTTAACTCACATTAATCACTTGAATTCTATTGTCCCAGCAGATTTATCCAACTGCTTTACTTCTGGCAGTCAGACACGGAGGGTTCCTGCAGCACATCTTGGGTATGTCTGTACTTTGAAGACAACTCAGGAGGGTCAACAGGTGCTTTAGTTTCTGTCCAGCCCTCCAACCCCGCAGTCAGCGCAGAGACAGAGAGAGGCCGGTGCTGTCACACACAGGGGAGACGACAGAACCTGCAACAACAGGCTGGAGTCACTCGTGCCTTTTACTGACCTCCGGTTTCACAGAGCAGCGAGGCGGGATGGTTCACCCTGTAAGGACATGACGGACCGTACAGCACTCACAAGAACCCAGCGGGGTGTAAATGCTGCCTCGGGAACGCGGTACCGCCCGCGCCGGCTGAGTTCTAGTGCAGAGCCGAGGGATCTGACCTGACAAGGTATCTGACCGTGCAAGGGCCGCGCATCACCAGCCCTGCCCTGCAGGGCGTCCCCTGCGCCTTTCCCGGCAGGAACATCCCGATGGACCCGCACGGCTGTGGGTGCCCCGGGGAGGACAGAGGGAGTTTGTTCATCGCCCTTCATCTCCCAGGAGAGAGGGAACGGGCTCTGAGGCGGAGCTGGGCAGCACCGGGGAGCCCACCTCGGGGCTGCCCGCCTCCCCTGCGGCCCCCCGGCCCCTCCGCGCACCACCAGCCGTGTCCCGCACCGCCCCGCACTCGGGCCGCCACCGCGGACCCCGCCGGGTGTCCCACGGCCCCGCCCCGCACACCCTGACCGACCCCGCAGACCCTGTACCACCTCCGCACACCCTGTACCACCCCTGCACCTCCTGACCGACCCCGCACACCCTGACGAATCCCGCACACCCTGTACCACCCCCGCACACCCTGACGAATCCCGCAGACCCTGTACCATCCCCGCGCACCCTGACTGACCCCGCACACCCTGTGCCATCCCCGCACCCCCTGTGCCATCCCCGCACCGTCCCCGCACCCCCGGTCCCGCCGGGTTGCCCCGCCCCGCCGGGCGCTCGGCGATACCATTCCCCTCTCCCGGGGGGGGGGGGGGAAGCCTCCTTCTATTTTTATTTTTATTTTTGTTATTTGTTTTCTCCCCAGGCCAGCAACAGAAGTCCCCATTTACTTCAACTGAGATCCATGTCACAGTTTTGGGGCCTTCGCTGTATGCAAATAAAGGTAATTTTTTTTTTCCGATTGAAAGGCAGAGAAAGATGGAGCTGTGGATAGAAGATAACGCAGAGCAGATCAACAGTATAGACTAGCAAAGGATATAAAGAAAAATCCGGGAAGAGCTCCTCTCCAGAGCACTTTTACACACTTGCTCTCATCAAGCAAGGCTTTCATGATGACATAAAAAGCTCTAAGTAAAAACCCAGATAAAATAAACAAGGAAATCCTTTTTTAAAGGAGAGCTGTGCTCTGGGAAATAAAAAAAAAAAAACCAAAAAAAAAAAACCAAAAAACAAGAAACAAAACAAAAAAAAGAAATTGCAAACCAAAATAATTATTCCAGTAGAAGCCATAAAATTAAAGGCTTTGGTCAGAAACCACTAAATGAAGGAACAAAGAGTTGACTGCTCATTTTCAGTAAGTGACACAGACTCAGCCAGGGAAGTGTATCAAGCACTTGTAACAATATTCCAATGCTTGAAGAGTCTTGTTCCAACCCTTCAGTGATATTCCACGGGCTGGGAGGGCAGGAGAGCTGCTGCTGCTGTTGTTGTTACTTCCACCACCTCCACGGAGAGTTGGAAACAAGAACCAGGAGTTAAACCGCTGCTAGTGAAAGGAGCATGAACCCCAGAGTATGTAGATCCCCAAAACACAGGAAATTAAACATGGATTCCCAAAGGATGGCAGCGCTCAGACTTGTGCTTCCCATATCACTGCAGATGTTCCTCTGTTCTGGGCAGCTTGATGGGGACGAAGAGTTCACACACACCAAGTGACCACAGGCTCGATTAAAGCCCAGAGGAATTCAGCACCATTTCTTTCACACCTGCCAAGTTGATTCAACTCTGAATCTAAGAGACAGCTCTAAAGGATTTCTGGGTTTAGGGGAAACTAAACCAGCAGCACCACCTTTAGTGATCAGCACAGGAAATACTAATTCATGGCTGCAGCCTTTGAACTGCAGTGCTAACAATGGACACCTTCCCCTCACATCTCAGTACAGGTGTGTAAATACAGGCAGTAAAGGCCCAACTGCACCAGGAACTGTGGATCTGTATCCCTGGATCTGCCCAAGGACAAGGGCAACACCGGCAGGATAACATCTCCCACAGAAAAGGTCCCATCTTGGAATGTATGGATCAGTCCACGTTCCAAAATGAACCCTCTCCCTGAATAAGGAATAATTTCTTTTAGGCTCACGCAGCTCTAGAAAACACAGAATATATGTTTCAATAGCAAAGGGTTCACAGCAGTCAACATGATCATGAGTTCCTAACCCATGTATGTTATTCCACAGGAAAATCATGGATGGCATGGAAAATAAAAGCTTAATGATGTTCAGAGATTCAGGTAAGTAAAGGTGAATGATTAAAAAAAAAAAATCAATCAAAAGCTCATGGAATCATAACTTCATAATAAAAAAAGAGTATATTAAAATGATCTGCCCCATCTTTATGTAGAAGTTATACATATTTAAAATACTATTTTCCAAGTAAACATAATAAAAACATTATTCAAATAGCAATTATGATATCCTGCATTTGAAGATTCTTTTAGAAAGCTTCTTTCTTCTCCTTGAACTGTTTTCAAGTATATCAGTCAGGTGAATTGGTCAGTGGTATAAAAACCTTCTGTTTTTTCTACTGCACCGTCTTCCCCACCCAGATTCTCCTGGGCATCCAGTTCTCGTTCTGCAAGCACACAAACTCCTGCTTTACTGGATTCCTGGATTTTGAAAGGCCACTTTTTTTGTAGACAAAGGGAACTTTAAGCAGCAAGGGTTCCACATCCAGCCACGCTGGCTCAGTCAGAATCATCACCACAACCATCACTGCCTTCGAGATCGCTGCTGTTCTGTAAAGCAAAATGGAAAATGGTCTGTCAGTACTGCATTTACATCTACAGACTGACCTAAGTCAAAGATATTGACTTTAAACTTCTCCAAAAGTATAAGAAAATAGTCTTAGACCCATCTACTGTAATAAACATCTGTGGTGGTAAATTACGCTTCTTGTAGCAAAAAGAGACGTACATTGGAACACACTCACCAGCAGAAGAAATTTCTTCTCACATTTACAACTGCATGATTACAACCTGAGTGTGTGGGAAACTCAAAGAAGGGATAATAGTGTGAAATGTTGACATTTAAAATAAATGCAGGTGAGACAATTTAAGTGGTTTTTTACGCAAGTCCCTCAAAACCCAAGTTTGTTACAAAAGGTCTAAAGCCAGATTTGAGAATTTTATTTGCTACAGAGTTTATGTCTGACCTGTATTACAGATATGCAAGGGCTCACTAACACTACTAAAAAGTCAAGCCAGTTGTACAAAGTAGTATTAGGGAAATACTACAAATGTTGGCAACTCACAAGGAAACTGAAGTCAGAGTTCTTGACTGGGAGCCACTCCTGCAGGACCAGGTCCACATGGTGCAATGAATGTGGAGGGTTTATGTATTTTGAAGCAAGTATTTTAACTCATATGACTGACAACAAAGGATTTTATAAAGAAAAGCTAACATGACTGTATGCCTGTAGTTACTCCTTTTTTCCTTCACCACCAATTGCTGAAAACAAACATCAAATCCCATGAATTTAACACTGACAGTTTAATATCCTACTACAAACCAAATTCCGAGACACTGAGACAGTTGACTTCGTAACAGCAAGTGCAGCTCATTGAAGTGCAAACAGCCTGCAAAATCTCAGAGGAGTCTGTCATATCATCCCTTATTTATCCCTCTCCAGACAGCTTGTGCTGACTGTGATGCCAAAACCCTTCTTGGTCGAGTTTATCTGCAGTGAGCAGACCTGCCTCCCCCAGGAATACCTCAGAGATTGGGAACCTGTCAGCACCAAGTCCTGCCAACACCAAAACCAACACCCTGAGCCAGGTAAGGACCCTCTGCACCACTTGGTCTCTTTGGGCCCTGTTTAACCAGCATTTGTCACAACCTCCCCTCACAAATGTCCTCACACAGCACCACAATTCAGACAAATAATTACTGCAAGTACAAAATACAAGTACAAAATAACAAGTACAAAAATAACCCTGAGAAAATTCTGGTGTCTTGCTTGTGCTATTCAATGAGGCTGTTAAGTTTTATTTTATATGCTGAAACTCTCATACTTAAGCAAAAAAATGGCAGAGACGTAATTAAACCTAACATTCTTCAAGGCAGGATCATTATCTACAAAAAGCTAATTTTAAGGACTGTTAAATGAAAAAGTTAAATGTTAAATGAAAAAGGGTCACTATTTTCTTCTGAGCTGCACTACACAGAAGTTTTAGTCCTGCCCATCATTCATCCTTTAAGGATTTGCCAGCCCTATGATTGAGACAATCTGAATTACACATGGAACTGTAAGGTATCTTCAGATCATGAGTCTAACCCTCCACTTGAGCAGGGCTTGTTTCAAAGTCAGATTGGATTGATCAGGGACTTGTCCAATCAAGCACTGTTGTATTTTAAGTCATTCCAGTGGTTGTCAACTTTAAGAAATACTTTTTCAGTTTGCCTCAAGATTCCTCGTGTGGTTGCCAACCTACCTTTAGCACAAGCCAGACATCTTTCCACTCTTTTCTTGTGAGACTATTCTACATCTCAACTAGAAAAAAAATCCAAACTTTAACTGAAATTCCCTTTTTGTTAAAAATGTATTCTATGCCTTTGTTTTATTGCACCTTACAGTGCAATTGTTTGTATTGCGCCAACCAGCAGCTCCTGTTGTCAGAAATCCAAATCCACAATATTCCATTTACTCAGTAGTTGTTCTGATGGCCCATTTTGAGCTCATGGCAGATTTACTTTAAAAAGCTGGTCCTAAATTTCCCTGACTCCAAAAGGCAGTAGGTATGAAACCTGGTCTCCTAAACAGTTTCACAACAGCAAAGGCTGGCAATGCCCATAATCTCTGTTGTCAGTTTATGATTCTGCCTGTGCTTGAAGCATTCCTCCCTCCCTCCTCCACTGCCACATGTAAAACCCTGTGAAAACAACACTTTGTACAGTGCATTCAATTGTCATCCAGTGCACAAAGACAGAAAAGATAATACACATTTCATGTGCCAGATGACTGTCATCTTCTAGGGCATATTCATGGAAAACAAAAATGTTACCAGGGGAAGAGACATTTCAACTTGACAGCTTCCATTTGATCAAATAATGGCTTCTATCATTACCTTTGAATTTTTGTTGTTGGCTTGCATCTCAACAGCAGACGAGTTGAAGTCGTGAATGGGGAGGGTGCTGAGCCAGTTTGCCATGGATTTCTCCTCCCTTTCCGTGTTGATGATGGTAGGGTAGATGTACTGCTCTTTGAAAACAGCAATCTTCTCCTCCTCCTGTGTCCACTCCAGCGGCTCGTGCAGCCCATCGTTCCCGAAGCGCCTGTTGTAC